CAAGATGACAAAGTATCTATTTTGATTTTTAAATCGAGAATAAATGTAGATGCCCATAGGCTACAGGTGGACTGTGTATTCGTTTGTCACTCTTATCCTATAAAAAAGAACTCAGCTAGAGCTAACATTATTTGTGAAAGAATAAAGATTCTTGGTTGTTGAGCCTCATTTTGCTGTTTGTCGTGTATTTGTTACTGCATATGGTGGCATTAACACTACAACTGCCGTGTGGTTGCGGTGCAGGAGAATCTGAAAACCCATTGCGACCCATGGGTCTCATAAGAGGAGATTATGGAAAAAGCAAACATCTTATGACTTTCGACTGACGGCGGGATACTCATCTTGTAACGTCAGACATGAAATTTGCAGATCGGAGACGGGCAGCAGCGTTGAAGGCCCAATGGCAATTAAAGTCTTAACCCTCGCTGAAAAGGTAAAGGTCCGTGTTCAGCAGTGAATTTTGAAGGGGTAATGAAGAAGAAGAAAATTCTGGCTCATGGCTAACAAGGTAAGTTTTCGCAACTTCTCTAATACGTCTATACTCTTTTTTATAGGATAGGTCCCCGATTACGAATCAAAATGTAGATCGTTATCACCTTATCACCTTGAGGTGATAAGGTGATAACGATCTACATTTTGATTCGTTCGATCAAAATGTAGATCGTTATCACCTTATCACCTCGTTATCACCTTGAGGGCTAAAATGGAATGCCTCGTTTCCAGTAAAGGGTCTCCGGTTTTCTACACTCACCGTACGAAACACAGCAGCATTAAGCTACTATTTTACGTTGGTATTCTGTAAGAGCTTGGTCCTTCAACGGTCGAGCCGACCCATTCGTGCTACAACTGTACTACTAATATAACTGCAGCATGGCTCTACCACGTATATAAGATAAACTATATACAACGTATATACCACTTATATACTACAGAGGATTAATATATTAACAGTTACACAGTTCCCGAAACAGATACAATAATTAAACAATTATAAAGTTCATATATGATTCGTGGGATAGGGAAAGGGTTGATATAGAGCACACTGTGCACACTACTGTGCTCGTCCAAGACTGACTCAATAATGGGAATACGCAACGTGAACAAACATGTATGCAATGATGTTAATGTGTTCAGAGATGGACGCCATAGAGTGATGCGTGCTGCAGTTATAACGCTATTAAGACAGACCGAATTTCAGTCACGGTGGCCTTAACGGAGACTAGCCGGTACAGGATTGTAGTGACCAAATGTATACGTAAAAAAAAGGTGCACACTCTATCCCCTCACTGTCATAAACCGATGGAACGGTAATCCAACATGACCGGAGCTCTCTCCGGTCACATTGAATTACCGTCCCATCGGTTCGCCCGGCATGTAACCAACCGCTTTACGTCCTTTCCAAGGCGCAGGGCCGGAACACCGCAACCTTCCTGACTCCGGGCTGCTAATGAGAATTTCACAGCACAGGAAAACCCATTATACCTGATTTTACCCTAACGCGGGATTCGAACCCGGGACCTTATGATCAGTAATCGACCACTAAACAAACGTGGCATTCGATACTTGAGGGTCCCTTAAGCATATTGCGACTAACTAGTAGCGTAATGCTGCTGTGTTTCGTGTGGTGAGTGAAACAACCGGAGAGAGATCGGACGCAAAACTAACGGCTTTACGTGCTTTCCGAGGCGCGGGGTGAGACACCGTCAGTTTCTTGGCTCCGGGCAGATACTGAGAATTGATTGACGGAAATACTCAATAACTGATAATTTTGGACCGACCCGGGATTCGAACACGCGACCCCACTAGATCAACGAGGCAGTCAGGGAAGTTACAGGGAATATTAGTAATGCAAATAGCGTTGCTAGTTTAAAAAAAGAGAAAACTAAAAAGAAATAGATAACGTATACATATAATTAAAAACGAAATTCCTGTCCATAATATGAAATAAATGCCATCTTCCATATATCCATTCCATCCATAAGCTCAGTGGGTTATTTTTTGTATTAATGCATGAAATTTTTGTCTGTCTGTCCATCCGTACTAGTCTTCGAAATGGCTGAATCGATTGCGATAAAATAGATAAAATAAATGGTTTATCGTGGTTACCTATACTATATAGTAATATATCTACACTAACTGCCACGTTGGTCTAGTGGTTGCAGTAGTGTGACTGGTGATCATGGGGTCCTGGGTTCGAATCCCGGGTAGGGTCAAAAATCAATTATTGACTTTTCCGTCAAGAAATTATCAGCAGCTGCCCGGAGTTACGACGGTGTCTCACCCCCGTGCCTCGGAAAGCACGTAAAGCCGTTGGTCCTGCACCTGATCTCTCTCCGGTCGTGTCGGTTTACCATCCCATCAGATTATGAGAGTGAGGAGATAGAGAGTGCACCTGTTACGCATACATTGGGCACTATAATCCTGTCCTGCGCCGATGGCTAGTCACCGTTGAGACTGGCCGCCGTGACCGAAATTCGGTCTGGAGGACATTATTATTATATGTACACTATAAAATATATAATTTTTGGAACAAAACTTTTTTGATTTGGAAATTTTACACAGTAAAATAATTTTGTTGTAAATTAATTTTTATAATTTTTTTTACTGCAACACCATAATACAACAAAATTTTGAGTGAAAAGAATAAAACGAAGACAGTTTTACGTAAAATTATTTGATCTTTACATTTAATTAAAACATTTTCCTATATCACACGCAGTTTTCGAGATAAAACAAAAAAAAAAAAACTCAATTCAGAGTGGTTTTTCGATAGTGTGATAGGTTTCTTTTAACAATCGGGATTGATAATGCGATCGTGGACTCCTTGAGCAGCACCGCTGACGGACGGACGTCTTTTTTTCGAGCCGTGGTAGCTCTGGGCTAAACGCTTGCTGTTAATTTCATTACATTACAGCACATTCAGCACGTGTGCAACCCGGGTTAGATTCCCGCCGGCACCAATGAAATTGTTAATTGCAATTTTAAGTGCTGATTGCAAGTGCTGACACGTGCTCGGCGATGAAGAAAACATCGTGAAAAAACGTGAAATTTTTTTTTATTTCACGGACATATAGGTCCGTGAAATAAAAAAAATATTTTGAAGACATGTGACAAAACGCATTGAGGCAATGCAGCGGACATTCCCTTGCCCAAAAGAAAAAAACCCTCTTAGCAAATGAGAGGAGTCCTGTGTCCAGCTGTGGGACGTATATAGGCTGTAACTTTAACCTTTTTCTTTTGTTTAAATTCCACGTGGACGGTGTCGCGGGTTAAAGCTAGTGTGTAAATAAAATATATTCTGATTCAGACATCGAAGCCCTTTCGTGAAAGACTGCTGTAGGTCGATTGGCCAGCATTTCTCCCGCTGTGGTCACGACACCTTTATCTTTACGAATTGGAAAGGAGGAAATTCAACCTGTGTAAACACTCATTTGATTCCCGTTTTCCATCTGATACCTTAGGTCTTATAGTACAGGCTTCACGCTATTTATAGAATAGGGTGACAAACGAGCACACAGTCCACCTGACGGTAAATGTGTGTATGTGGCCCATAGACATCTACATCTATCCTCGATTACGAATCAAGATGCAGATGCGTCGTCACCCGTGAGGACTAAGATGGAATGCGTCGTTTCCAGTAAAAAGGGTCTCCGGTTCTCTATACTCACTATACGAAATACAGTAGCATCAAGCTGGTATTTTACGCTGGTATTCTATGAGAGCGTGGTCCCTCCCCGGTTGAGGCGACCCATTCGTGCTAAAACTATACTACTAATATAACTGCAGCATGGCTCTACCACGTATTGATATATCTATTTATAGAAAAGAATAAAATAATTTATATTCAATACACATTACAAGTAATTCTTACTGAAAATAATATTTCAACCTTTACCAGTGGTCCGGAAAAAAAAACTCTGTCCTGGAAAGAACTAGCGGGACTTTTTTGTTAGAGAACGATGATATTCTATCATGTTGATTCATTACATTTTACGCGAATACTACAGGTTGAATAAAATAACTTTTACGGATTTTATCGCGTTTTCATCATCATCATCAAGGCCCTTCACAAGTCCACTGCTGAACAAAGGACTCCCCCAAGGAATGTCACACAGCACGGTCCTGAGCCACCTGCATCCATCGACTTCCTATATGTCTTACCAGGTCGGCAGTCTATCTAATGAGGGTTCACACTACGCCCACCGGTACGAGGCTACCACTCGAGAACCTTTTTTCCGCATCAGTTATCGATTCTTCGAGCTATACGGCCAGCTCATTGCCACTTCAGCTTATTAATCCGTTGGGCTATGTCAGTCACTCTGGTTCTACTTCGGATATCCTCATTTCTAAGTTTATCACTTTATCGCGTTTAATTGTACTTATTTTTAATTCCCGATATTTCGGGTGCTGTCCATCACCCATACTCACGAGGGATTGAGGTGATTGTTGTACCGATGTTAGGGTTAACCTGGGGTATCTTCAGGTTTTTAATTATTACAAACTCAAGTGAAGGGAACTCAAACTCAAGAAAAGGCTGCAGTTTGCTTTTTTTATCCTAGATGGCTTTCATCATTACATCAGATTTGATACAAATTCTCGCGAAAGAACATCAATTCCTGCCATGAATGATACGTGAGGCTATTGAAATTAAAAAGAAAACAGTCTAATTAATAGAGTAAGAGGCTGGGTTATACCAACTGCTTGGGATCCTGTAATTAATAAAATTAAAATTAAACCCAAGTATACCACTGCAAGACTTCACATATTTTGCGTAGTTTGGACTAAAAGTAATAACTAAAAAGCTGAAGGTACACCGGGTTAACTATCACATCGGGACGGATTGCACAGTGGAGATACCATGAAAAAAAAAACAGTTTTCGTTGTTTATATTTTTATTACTTTTTTTAATTTTAACTCCGAAAAATCTTTAAGAAAATTAGTAATTATATTTATAAACCTTTAAATGTTTGTTTTTAAATCTTGCTTAGATCTGCACTCACAGCTTTTGTCTTCCTGTAAAAAAGTAACTTAAATTTAGATCTTCATAAGTTTTTTGATTAAGGTACATGAATTTTTATAACAATGCATGTGATTAATAATAGCGTTAGATAGTCGGAGAACATAGGCCTTCCATCGTATTTATTTATTTATTTAATATACAATTACAACATCATTACAGCTGTTAAACTAATGCGATGTGATAACTAACCTAAATATAAGAAAACTACTGACTAATAAATAATGATATCTAGTATGAAATCTATCAAATTGATGGTAAAATAAAATACTAATTAAAAACATTACAATTTTCAACGCATTTGGCATATTATATCCGTACCTGCGTATATATATTCACATCGTCACTCTATGTAGTGCAGCCGAATTTTTCAAGCAATATTAATAAACTGGCACTAGCCTAAAACTACAAAAACAGACCCTATGTTTACCCATATCATTACATGTATTTCAAGGATGTTTTGTTTAATCCGCTACGCCTGGTGTGCAGATTGCCTTTTGCAATCTTTGATAGTCTGTCTACAAGACGGCTCTGTTGCGCAGTGGCATAGCAATGACCTGCAGCGATAAAGGGCCGCGGGTTCGAATTCCGCAAGGAAAAGTATTTGTATGGCCTGCAAATCATTGTTCCGGGTCTGGATGTCTGTCCTTGTAGAATTTATGTGGGTATGTGAAATTGTGTGAAATTTCGGGCAAAGCTTACATTTTATTAAGTATTGCGTAACTTTCCAAAAATTCTATTCTCTTACTTAGAAAAGACGGGCATCTCCCAGAATTTTTGTCCTCGGCCGTAGTTCTCGCCATCTTGGATTGTCTGCGGCATTTCCTTCCCTGTGGATTCGGGCAAAAACATGCACAAGCACCCGCCTGCTATTGCGATAGCACCCAGGATGAGCAGAGGTATTTCTGTCGCTATAGTTGCCTGGAGAGAAACACAAAGAACATTTAATATGACCGCTTACTTTTAAACAGTATAAGAGACAAAGAAATAAATGTTCAGAACGTAAAATAAATAAAATTGCAATGAAACACAATGTTGCTAATTAAATCCTCTCGGAACTACTGCTCTACTTTTTGCAATAGGCCTGGCTGGTGTGGCCGATTAATAAATGCGACAGACTGTTCTAGATAAAAGTGTTCAAGAATGGCGTTAACAATTTTTTTTAATTTGGGAATGACTTATGTCTAATAATGATGACGATGAAGATGATGAAATGACAAAATAATTTTAAGCTACATTTATAGTAACTTACATATAATTGAAATACTTCTTTAATACGTTTTCGTATTTACCAGCCATTATATAGGTATAGGATATGGTTGAAATTTATATAAGATCACTGATAAGCTACGGATCGGGGAACAAAAAAATACCGTAATCGATTATATCGTTTTACGTACACAAAAAAGCTTGTATAATATTAAATATAACTGCTACGTGATAGCATAAAACACTCCATCACTCCATTTGTTATTTTTATTACCAGCATCGAACCTGGAGTGTTTTTGATTCAATGGATTATAGTAAAATCAATCACTTATATAAATTTAGTAGTATATTGGACCCCGCCAATTTTATTATTTTTAGTCATTTCTAGTAGTTAAACATTAAACATACTGAGATTTTTAATGGACATGAATTGTGTCACCACTGTATTATCGATTTACTCTAGAAGCGAGTCTTAAAATAAAGCAAGCTGACATAGTTCTACAGCCTTTGGTGTAAAAATCTAGAAGTGTCCCAATCACCAGTGTTTAAAAAGCTTTATTTTAGTTATTTCTAAATTTGGATTCTGAATCTATTTGAATGGTCTATTTCAAGATGTTCCTTAGTAATTTTTTCTGTTTTGGAATTTTCGCATATAAACTTTTAGTACCCGGATGACCGGTATTTTTTGTAAAGCGTGTTTTTGTAAATTATATTTAGATACAAATTACATACTGATGAAATACGAATAATATTTTTTGATTATACCGACATAATTAAAAAACTGAACTGCTTATTAAATTAAAAAATCATGAGTGCAATTAATCATCATCATCATTACAGCCCTTCACAAGTCCACTGCCGAACATAGGCCTCGCCCAAGTAACGCACGGCACGGTCCTGAGCCACCTGCATCCATCGCCTTCCTGCATGTCTTACCAGGTCGTCACTCCATCTAGTGGGGGGTCGCCCTACACTACGCCTACCAGTACGAGGCTGCCACTCGAGAACCTTCTTCCCCATCGGTTATCGGTTCTTCGAGCTATATGGCCGGCCCATTGCCACTTCAGCTTACTAATCCGTTGGGCTATGTCGGTCACTCTGGTTTTACTGCGGATATCCTCATTTCTGAGTCTATCACGCAGAGAAACTACGAGCATAGCCCTCCCCATAGCTCGCTGAGCGACCTTGCGCGTCCTCATACGGCCAGCAGTGAAGGACCACGTCTTTGATCCGTAAGTCATCACTGGCAACACGCACTATTTGTACACTTTAGTTTTCAGAGATTGAGGTATACCTGACGAGAAGATGTGTCGTAATTTCCCGAACGCTGCCCAGCCGAGTTGAATCCGTCGATTGACCTCTCGGTCGAAGTTGGACTTATCTAGTCGGACTATTTGTCCCAGGTAAACGTACTCGTCAACAACTTCGAGCATAGTGCTCTCAACAACTACCGGCATAGGTGTGACATGGACATTAAACATGATCTTTGTTTTGTCCATGTTCATCTTAAGACCTATCCGTTGGGAGACACCATTGAGGTCATTGAGCATAGTGCTAAGGTCCTCCAGCGATTCAGCCATAAGAACTATATCGTCGGCAAATCGAAGGTGAGTGATGTACTGGCCATTGATGTTAATACCTTATCCTTTCCAGTCCAGTAGCTTGAAAACGTCTTCCAATGCAGCGGTGAAGAGTTTCAGGGATATAACGTCACCCTGTCTTACACCTCTCTGCAGTTGGATAGGTTTCGAGCTCTGATTCTGTACTCGGATAGCCATCGTAGCCCCACTGTACAAACACTTCAGCACTTCGATATACCGACAGTCAACTTGGCACCGCTGAAGGGACTGTAGCACCGCCCAAATTTCGACGGAATCAAAGGCTTTCTCATAGTCCACATACGCCAGGCAAAGTGGCAGATTGTACTCTTCGGTCTTCTGTACAATCTGTCGCAGGGTATATATGTGGTCTACGGTACTGAAGCCTTTTCGGAAACCGGCTTGTTCGGGAGGCTGGAAGTCGTCGAGTCTGCGTGCGAGACGATTCGTAATGACTCTCGAAAACAGCACGTAGACGTGGCTCAGAAGGGAAATCGGTCTGTAGTTCTTCAAGAGAGCGTTGTCGCCTTTCTTAAAGAACAAGACCACCGCACTTCTGCTCCACGCCTCCGGTGTAGTGCCACTAGAGCACGTAATTGAAGAGCTTCTGAAGGACTTCAAGTACCGGTGTTCCACCCGCTTTCAGAAGCTCCGCTGTAATTCCATCCTCGCCTGGGACCCTGCCGTTTTTAAGGTGCTGGAGAGCCATTCTAATCTCGCTCAGACTGACGTCCGGGATATCATCGGAATAGTGTCGGGTAAGACTTGCTCTTTGATCGTTACTCACACTTGCGTGTGGCTCCAACGATGATGTGTACAGCTGCCCATAGAATCTCTCAATCTCACTCAAAATCTCAGGTGTCTCGGAAATGATGCTGCTACACTCAGTCTTCAGCTTTGACAGTTGGCTCTTTCTGGCAGACAGATCTTTGGCAAAGACTTTGGAGCCATGGTTCCGCTCGATCGCTTCTTTAATACGAGCAGTATTAAAGTTGCGTAAGTCTTGCCGTATGCATTTGGAGATCTGTCTGTTCAGTTGCCTGTATGCTGTGAAATCTGTTGACGATTACAGTCTCATCTCTCGTCTAACAGCCATAAGATTAAGAGTGTGATCGGAGAGTTTTTGTGTTCTTCTGCGGCGGGTCTTGCAGAACTTAGCTCCGACCGCATGGACAGTTTCCACGAGCTTGTCATTCATATCGTCCACTGCATTGCAATCTTCTAGGCACTGAAAGCGGTTACGTAACTCGAGCTGAAAAGTCTCGGGATTCTGGATCAGAGCACGACGGGGACGGAGCGTTGACTTCATTAGACGAGACCTCTCCAACTTAACGTTTAGGTTCAGTGTGCCTCTAACCATTCGGTGATCGCTGCCGGTTTTCACCCTTGCGATCACTGAGACATCACTGAGCAGTTGGCGTCTAGTCGTCATAATGAAGTAAATCTCATTTTTTGTCGAACGACAATTTCAAAGTCGTCGTAGGTGGCAACCGAACCTCCACCGGAGATTCTTAGCACCTTCTGCCCCGCCGTTACCATGGTCGCCACCGTAGCCAGGAATAGCGGAGCCGCCGGGGACTGGGGGCCGTTTATCTGCGTCTTTGCTCATGGGGGGATATTTGTCATAGTTGCCACGCTTGGCGAGCGGGTTGGCAACCGCATTTTTTTATTATGTTTTTGTTGTTATTAGTAAGATGCTGCTGCCCATCTCCTTTCTGTGTCCCTCTGTCGAGTCTTACGAAACCCACGGGCAGATATGGGGTAGTGGATATTCTCAACCGCCACTACACGGCACTGTATTGCAATTAGTTTAATTTAATTTTTCGTGTTTTTATATTCATATATCTTAATATATATAATTTACATGTCACGTTGTTTGTCCACGATGGACTTCTAATCTACTTAATTAACTAGTTGTTGTACGGTCATTTTGGCCAAAATGGCGCATCTGTCGAGCACTTTCCGAAGTATTAAGTAAGTATATAACAAGTATACTAAGTGTATATAATACTAAGTATATTAAAATCATATATCAATGGATACGTTATTAAATAAGCTATCAGATTATTCATAATAGATATATATGTTATATATATGTATGTTATATATATATCATATATATGTTAGAAATAGTTTGCTATCACTCGACGCCATATTATGGCGTTAGACAGATGCGCATATTATTTGAGACGCCAGAATAAGGCGTTAGGACAGACGAGGGGTTAACCGATTTTAATCAAATTTGCACACCTTGTCCAGTTTGGTCCAACTTGAGAGATAGGATAGTTTTTTGCACACAATTTTTTTGCGAATTTAAGGATTTTATAGGACATGACAAATTGTCAAGGAAAGGGCAGAACAACGTCTGCCTGGCAACGTAGATGCGGTTGTACTGCTTGGCCCTAGAGCTGAAGGACGACCAACTATTTTTATATATATATATATATATATAACATATAACAATAATTGCTCGTTTAAATGTATTAGATTTTAGTTCTCGAAAAGAAATTGTAAAAAGTTTAAATTACGAATGGTTGTCAAAGAATAACGTTTAGGGAGTTCTTTAAAAATAACGTCTGATAATCTAAAATATTTAATGTTAATGGAAGAATAGTACTAAAAATATGTTTGGACTTAAAACAAAACCTATTGGACTTACGGTTTTTAAGTAGGACTTAGGGATTTTCAGTTGGATTTAGGGATTGTTAGAAATGGAACTATCGATACTTATTTAGAGCCGTTTTAAAAATATCGATACTTACTCATATCGATTTTAGTAGTAGATTTTGGTAGAGCCACGCTGCAGCTATATTATGTTGTAGCACGAATAGGTCGGGTCGACCGGAGAAGGATCATGCTCTCACAGAATACCATCGTAAAATTCTTAGATTTTCAGCTTAGTACTGCTATGTTTCGAATGGTTAGTGTAGAGATCCGGAGATCCTTTTTTTACTGGAAATGAGGCATTCCATCTTAGTCCAGAATAATAGTAGATGTCTATTGGCCACAGCATCCACTATTATTTTATGAAATAAAATTATTTGTAAAATTTAGAATAAACTAAATAAAACATTAACAAGTGTTGATATTCCTTGTCGATACGAATATATAAGTCATAAAAAAGTTCTATGAAAAAAGTCCGTTCTTGTTTTTTTTTCTCTCGGGCATACTAACCCGCTCACCAAGTACACAAAACTTACAAAACTAGAACTAGGATGCGTAAAAAAATTTCAATTTATGATAAGTACACAAAAAATATTTTTATTAGCATAGATGAGTGTATTCATCAATATGTTAAAATAAAATCGTGAGATAGGCATACCGATACAAATACTTTGAACCGATACTTACTCGATACTTAGTTTTAAAGGATCGATCCAAAAAGTACTTGGTATCGGAAGAAATGTATTAAGTACTTGTATTTACTAGTGTCGTTTCATTCGTAGGGACTGTAGTAAAAAAAGCTTATATTCTTATCGGTAGGTATAATTCCCTCCTTATGAACAATAATATTAAAAGTTTTACTTAACTCTAATACATTTTTTAAATTCTATACATATGTTAGTGTAATCACAGCTAACCTTGAAATCAGTGGTTTGGTTTCACTTATAGAACGTAAATTCAATGAAAAATAACAATTTTTAAGCTATTGCATAGCTTATATCGCGGGCCTTGAGCGCGGGGACCAAATCCAGAAATTCCGTAACGAAAAAAAACCTCAAGCTCCCCACTCCGACGGGCACGGAGGTGTGGCGTTGAAAGCCGTGCATCGTCTAACGTCATTTCAGTTCGGCAGACTTCGGCACGGTGTTTCTCTCCTCATTCCTGAATAACCTACATGTATTGTAAAATATTAAAAATATTTTAAACAATATTAACTTCTCATTTATTCAATAAGAGAAAAAAATTGTTTTCTTATCGGTCACCACGCTCAAAAAGTGTAACTTGATTTAATATCAAAGACTTAACTGCATAAATAAAATAAATAAATAATTATAATTGCATAAGTTGATAAAAAATGGTATGCAATAGCTTTACCGCGGCAGTCACCGAGTGCCACACGTATTTTTTTTAGTAAAATCTCAATTTTTCCTTAATTCCTCAATTTTTGCCTGTCCTAAGCCAGGATGAAAATGTGAAGGAAAAGTTTCATCACAGGTTATGTGTACCTATTGTGTTTTTATTGGAATGTTATATAGGCAGCTAGCGCGGGCGGTGATCTTTGCAGTGATTACGTCACTCGGGCGCATAGGGTATCCACGAATTTACGGACGGTGTCGGACAGAAACTTTTTAAATTTTATGATAGAAAATAGCGTTTTTTTTAAAGTTGGATAAATATTTTTATATTAAAGCCTATACCTATGGTTTTAGTGACAACGCTGTTTACACTTACACCTTGTATAAACTATTCGGACTCTACCGCTTCATCTTGAGCCACATTATCACCATAAAATTTAGTTGTTCCTATAATACTTGTTTATGAATCTCTCTAATGAAGGAATTAGAAAAAAATATGTAAGGACTAGGGCATTTTTTGAAAATAGAGACTTGTAAAAGTCAAATCACTAGATTAAGAGTTTATGGTGTTTCAAAAAAACAGTACACAGGAATGTGTTAGAAATTAATCAAGTAGAATAAATCATAAAAAATGAAAAGCTTTAACTGGCTGTGTTGCCAATGCATAAAATTCTTTGGGACTTGGGACTGGACCATTCATTTACTGATTTCATTCTTTTTTTTTTATAGGATAGGGTGACAAACGAGCACACAGTCCACCTGATGGTAAGTGGTTGCTGCGGCCCATAGACATCTACATCTATCTTCCATTACAAATCAAAATGCAGATGCGTTGTCATCAGTGAGGACTGAGATGGAATGTCTCATTTCCAGTAAAAAGGGTCTCCGGTTCTCTACACTCACCATACGAAATACAGCAGCATTAAGCTACTATTTCACGCTGGTATTCTGTGAGAGCGTGGTCCTTCCCCGGTCGAGCCGACCCATTCGTGCTACAACTATACTACTAATATAATTGCAGCATGGCTCTACCACGTAAAGACATTCATATACATTCTTCATAATCATTACATTACACAAATCTTACTGGTAAACTTAGGTAGGTACATGATATAACTCCCCCAAAAAATGCTTCCAAACGTGATCCTGAGCCACCTTTGCGTCTCTCGGCTTCCTGCAGCTCCTACCAGGTTATCTTACCGGTACGAGGCTGTGACTCAAGAACCTTTCTTACCAATAGATAGTCGGTTTATCAAATTATATGATAGTCCCATTGCCAATTCCGATTTTTCCGATCATTATTGACCTATTGATTTACTGATTTTAAAAAAATACTCCCGCAGTGTTTACTACTGGTTCCTCACAGAGTAGAGAAACTTACAAGTGTAAATTAATTTTAAAAATGTTTTTTAATAAGTAACATTTATAATCTCTGTCTCTATTTCCATATTATGGTTTCCAAACGATGACGTTATATCCGTCTCACTTACAAAATTTTTAAAATACCTAGAGCGATAACGGGGAGCGTCTAAAGTGCAAGATGATGGGTACTGCGAATGGCAATTCGTTCTGCCAGAGAGACGATTATGACGCAGATTCTCTACAATGCAAAGGAACCTTGTTCAGCTTTGGAATGTTACAGGCTGATCAAGAAAAAAACATTTAAATACAGTCGAATTGATTGCACTGTTCGACTGTGGCTGAGCTTCACATATTCGCGAAATATTTTTTAAATTTATGATTATACTATTATTAATAAACGTATTTATTATTATTATTACTATTCTAAGTTAGCGCTTTACTTTGATACTTTTAGATATTCAGATTTCCTAACGATGTTTAGATTACCGCCAGCTCATTTTAATCGTCACTTAAAATAACAATTTAAAAAGTTCATTAGTGTCAGCGGGAGCTGCCACAGGTCCCAAGCCAAAAATAATCAGTGTTTATTAGAAATTATTCTCATTCTTACCATATAGACGATGTAAGGTACAAGAATGGTTGCCACGTAGCCCATAATATGTATTAAAGCGAGTCCCTGAGCCCTCACAACTGTTGGAAGAATTTCAGCTGCGTACTGCATGCCGATGTTGAAAGATATGTTCACAGAGAAGCGACCGATAATCGCTAGGGACGCAGACGGGATACCTAGAATGAAATAATTTCTACTCGTGGTAGCGCTGGCTGCACATGTTTTGGTTTTGTTAAGTATATATAAAATAGTACTATATAAAGTTATCCCCAAAATAGGAATTTCTTCAGTAATGTCTTCAGGCCTCTTCGCTAATTTGTTGATATATAAAATGATGTCGTATGTATGTTATCTGAGCGGTAGCTCTTATATAAAAGCTATATAGATGACGACGCAATGTACTACAAAGTAAATCAAGTCATAATTTTAATGAGATGTCATCAAAGTTAGCGAATAGACCTGGTGGAAGCGTTTTATATATATACATTAGAAATAAAAGAACATCAAAACTAGAAAATACATAACGTTATAACTAAAAAAATAAAAATCCATCAGGAGGCCATATAGTCTGTTTGCTTAGATGCAGTCGCCTTTTTGTCGCGTCGCCCTGGCACGTGCCGCATCTTGTTAAAGACGCCGCCACGAAATCAAAGGTCACCGCGTGCGGCGTACTCCGGCAAGAAAATTTGACATTTTAAAACGAAGCGCCGTAGTGAAAGGTTCGTTGTTAACTAAGTTATGTTTATTATTTATATCCGTATTTTACTACAATAAACATGAGAATAAAATAGTATTATATTTTACACTTCACTGCTTAGTAATAATTTAGACCTTAAGGTTGATAGCACCTTATTTCGATGGGTAAAATAAACAGTAGTTGTAGTAAAAGGTCCCCTTCGGCCACAGTAGTTCCACAAGACTCTTTTTATTTTCTCTTTTTACTGTATTATATTGTAGTGTAGTGGCGGTGTAAGAATACCCACTAACCTACATCCCGAGAGTGTCGTGAGAGGCGACAGAAAAAAATGGAACAGAAAACGGACAGCATCATCTTCCTGATGAAAACTCAAAATAGTAAAAACTTTCGGTTGCCGACCCGCTTGCCAAGCGTGGCAACTATGGCAAAATCTCCCCCATGAGGCATTCTATGAGGGAAGCCATGTTCAGCAGTGGATTTTATAGGCTTTAATGGATGGTTGGACGGATTATTTTAATGTTTTTTTTTAATTTAACGTTAAAATATCTGCTTTATCGCATAGATGGAAAGCAGTGTATAATTAATACTCACCAAGGGGTACTGTGGTTGCGAGTAAACTGAAGATTCCGCTGATGACCATGGAACCGAACGACATCCAGCGACGACCGATACTATCAAAAAGAAGACAAACAAAAATTATATGTGTCACCTAGTTTTTTGAGACTATTTAAAATTATTTAAATAATTATCATGTTTTCCAGGTTTTAATTTAATAGGTAGAAAAGAAAAGCTTTAAGAAATAGAGATAGAATATAATTATTCTGAAATGATTTCAAATCCTCGTGACAGATGTCTCGTTCATTATATGCTAGTTTCGTTACCGTTATGGGAATTTTACATGAAGTGTAAATGCGAGATAGATCTAATGGAGCCCACAATATCTTCATGGCATACCTTGGGGGAGGCCTACGTTCAGCAGTGGAATTGTGAAGGGCTGTAATGATGATGATGATGATTTGCCTTAGCTTTTTCTTAAGAAACCCTGGGGTAAACTAGTACGACGGCATATTTATATGTGTACGAATTTCTTTCCAAGACATTTTCAAGGGTCTGAGTGACTGAAGATTTCCTAGAGGTACTCACTTCCTATTCATCACTTTGAAAATTCTTATGGATCCATCAATTCTGATCTAGCAACTTCTAGATAGAGTTACGACCCGGTAAGAGAAGCAGGAAATCGATAGATGCAGCTGGCTCCAGAACGTTTATCAAGTAAAAATTTTAGAATCCTGTGTTTACAAGCAAATTTCTACTTTTATTTTTCGAAACATAACCTACTGAGTATATATCAGTCTGGGTTTCGTCCTGGTCATAGTACCACTACTGCATTAATTAATGTTATTAATAATATTAAACAAGGCATGGAAGAAAAAAAATAACAGTACTGGTACTAGTAGATTTCTCAAATGCTTTCAACACAGTTGATCATGAAATCCTTCTTTCCATACTGTCTCATCTGAATTTTGGCCCTACTGAATTGGATTGGTTTGCATCTTATCTTCGCGGTCGACAGCAGTCAGTCAAGCAACTGTCCTCAGCTTGGGCTGATGTGGATGCTGGTGTGCCGCAAGGCGGTATTCTTTCTCCTATAATGTTTTCAATTTTTATAAACTTTATTACCTCCATCATCGACTGCTCGTACCATTTGTATGCCGATGACCTTCAGCTTCATGTGCAAACTGAGATTGGGGATATCCATAATGGGATCAAAAACCTTAACGGCAACTTAACAGTTATCAAGGATTGGTCTACTCGTTATGGAGTTTTGGTCAATCCTTTGAAATGCCAAGCTATACTGGTGGGTAGCTCAAGGATGCTGGCTAAGATTAATCTTACAGACTTACCTCCTATTTACTATGATAATACTACAATTCCATTCAGTAATTCTGTTAGAAATCTTGGCCTTCACATCGACAGCACGCTGAATTGGAGAACTCAGGTTTCAGATGTGAGTCGTAAATTTACTGCCACGTTATGCTCTCTGTATCGTTTAAAACATTTTCTTCCCACAAAATCTAAGATCATGCTTGTCCATTCACTTATATTACCCATAATTGATTATGCAGATGTGTGTTACCCAGACCTGTCCCAAGATCTTCTGAAGACAAGCTGGGTAACCACATCTGCATAATAATAGGGTAATAAAAGCCTCCTCAATAACTGTATAAGATTTATCTTTGGGCTTCGTAAGTATGATCATATTTCGCAATACAGATCTAAGCTAAATTGGCTTACAATCCGACAGAGGCGCAACTCCAGAATATTACTTGTACTTTTTTCAATATTAAATGATCCATCTTCGCCTTCTTATCTTAAGAGTAAATTTCATTATCTTTCCTCATCTCATGATAGGGTCCTACGCTCTTCTCCTAACAAGAAAATCTGTACTCAAGTTCACTTCACCGAGTTCTATGGTAACTCCTTCACAGTTCAGGCTACACGCCTTTGGAACTCCTTGCCCGATGACATCAGAAAAGCTCCCAATAAGTACGCTTTTAAAAAGTTGGTCCGTGATCATTTATTAAAGACAATGCATTTTACATAACTCATCTATTTAATATGTATTGCCAAACAGACGTATATATTCATAGTCATTTGTATATACTAATTATGTATATATTTAAATATGTATACTTGTATGTATATCCATTTATTTATATATATGTAAGGTTAGATCATATATGTATAGTTTATTTATTAGTAGTTTGTATATATTATGTAGTTAATTATCATTTGTATTGTGTTCTCTTTCTTATTGCCACACCTACGTCAAATTCTCACCACTCTATGGGTTGACTGGTAGAGAATGCCTCAAGGCATAAAGTCCGCCCTTTGTATTCTTTTGTTTAAGGATGCAATAAAGAATAAAATAAATAAATAAATAAACGTTAGTAGCTTGTTTATTAACGTTTGGCTCACGAGCCAGAACTGGTACAAGCCGGCGCTCGTCATTCCAAAACAGGTTTTGGCATGCTATCATCTCAGAGCATGTCAAAACCTTTATTTTTTTAGGATCCGTCGACCCACCGTCAGCCGACGAGGGCTGGATTGTACCAGTTCTGGCTCGTGAGCCAGAAGTGGTACAAACTAACTGCCAACGTGCTTTGCGGCATTCTTTGGGAGAGATTTATCAACAACAGTAGACTTGTAATGGCTGGCGACGATGATGATGATGATTGATAACCTTACAAAATTCACTGTACTTACATATCCAATGTTAATATGAGCAAAATATCAGCGGGGAATTCGGTTGCCGTGGCAATGGTGAATGTGAGGAAGATATCGAGCCCCAGGGAGCCCACGTTCCTCACGTGACCGTCGAAGGCCATTGCGATCGCCGTCCATATGAACAGCAGCAGAACGCTGTTGCGGCGGAGACGCGGCGTACGGAACAGATCCAGCACCGAGTAGTTCATGATCTCTTGCTCGGACTTCGCCATTTCTGTTGCCGTATCCTTCAATGGAATAGAATAGAATCATTTTTATTTATTATAGATTACAAAAATACTTATTGAAAGTCATTTAAGATTTACTATTGGTTAAAAAAAATTTGTCTTGGGAAGAACTAGCAAAATACCCAGCGGGATTTTTTCAAACATTAATTATGTCCTATTTTATACATTTACGTACGAAAATATTTAGAAACAGCATGGTAGCGATCAACTCATTTCCAGAGGTCTATCAGTGACGTACTCTATAGTAGTATAATAACTCTTTTAAACTATTTAAACAGTTTGTTTTAATTAGTTTTATGTAGTCGATCTCTTTAATAAGCTATAGGTATCTTTGATCCTCCCGATTGTATAAGATCAGAAAGTTTAAATAGCTAAACGTCTAACTACGTGAATCGTCGAATAGGCAGAATATTTAATTAGTTAAACGTTAGTTATAGCAAATCAGGTTTTTTTTTAATTTGAAGCCCCATGGACATTATTAAGTGGAATCGGTGGTAACTAGCAGATGTCAGATTCGAAGCTTTCAGGCGACAAAAAATAAATGTCGATTTTTTTGAGATAATGATAAATATTCTGGAAAACTTTTATGGCGAGTTTAAATAATCGGAGAGCTTTTAACGCCTGATCTTTGGTATTGAAGTATTCTATCCTCTGGGGTAGATGTAGATATCTATGAGCCACAGCGTCCACTTAACGTTAAGTGGATTGTGTGCCGGTTTGTTACCCTCGTCCTAGAAAAAAACGTTTCGCTATAAAGTCCGAGAAATAACTTCCTATCATCTTAACCTTTCAAAGAATATGCGATTCGAAATAAATTCTAGCGTGTATTGCCAAAACTTAGTATGTGTAAGCGAATTGATGAGTGCAGCTTTTCGCTGCTACCGTCATAACATAATAGTCATGCTAGTTGTCTTATTCTACGCAAATTTATATCAATAATTACTACAGATATACATTTTTAGTTTAAACTGGGTTAAAGTGTGTTTTAATAAGACACTAGCAAAAACATGTGGTTGTCCGTACTTAGGGGCTGTCCGTATTAAAAAAGATTTTCCGCAGTCAAACTTAAGAGTGTCGAAAAACTGGGGCACACACTGCAATAACTCGACTGATTTTATAAAACGACACATGCAATTATTAGTGAGGCTGATTCTCACCTACGCCTCTATTGTCTGGTGTAACAAGGCCAACCAAAAGACGACTGCGGACAGACTATTTAGTCTATAAAGGACTGCCTCCTTAATGGCAACTGGAGCTATGCGATCATCGCCTGGAGCGGCTCTTACTGCACTTCTATGCCCAACGCCCCTTGATCTCTATCTAGATAAGAAGGCGAGGGCTAGTTTGTATAGGATTAAAGCCCAGGACGGTCTGAGCTTGCACTCCTACAGATTGAGATCCATGCTCGACTCAATTAAGGAATCACCGGTCTTATGCATGATCTCAAATATCATGCGTCCACTACACACTTTTGATAAAAAGTATATAGCGGAATTATCCTCCAGAGAAGACTGGCTAAATGGCCAGGTTATCTGTGAGGTGGGTAGCCTCATATGGTATACCGATGGGTCTAAAATGGGCCTCGACGTAGGCTTTGGAATTTACGGGGAACGTCCCAAATTCAAACTTAGTATGAATTTGGGTAGATACACCTCTATCTTCCAGGCAGAAATTTTCGCCATACTTCGGTGTGCGAAAATCAATCTGCAAAAACACTACGTCAACCATATAATTTACATAAACTCTGATAGTCAAGCAGCACTGCTAGCGCTGAGGTCAAACTTAGTGAACTCGAAGCTAGTTGGAGACTGCGTGAACCTTTTAAACGCCCTGGGATGTAACAACAGGGTCGTTTTAAGACGGGTTCCGGGTCACGAGGGTATTGTAGGCAACGAATTTGTCGACAAACTTGCACGGGAGGGCTCAAAGTGCACACAAAATTGGACCTGAGCCATTTTGTGGAATCTCAAGAAGCCTAGCCCGATTCACCCTTGAAACTCTTTATCACAATAAATCACTTAAGATCTGATCTGATACACCAGGCTTAAAATATTCTAAAACCTTAATCCGGGCTTTTGATCGTAAATTCGCTTCAGAAGCCCTGGGATTAAGTAAGAATATATTGCGCATTCTGGCAAGAGCCCTAACTGGACACTGTTCTAAAAAGCACATATACATCCTGGGACTAAGCAACTCAAGGATGTGTCGGTTCTGTTTCCATAACGGAAGAAACGCCTCTTCACATCCTAACTGATTGCGGACCCTTAATGCGCAAACGTAACACTGATCTGGGAAACTATGTACTCTGCCCAGAAGAAGTGAAATTGCTCACGGCTAAGCAACTCTGGCAGTGAACTATGGCCATAGCAGCGATCACAATAGATCTTATAGGTCGCAGTGATACTGGTCTCTTTCCATAGACCTGCATAGCTGCTCGCATATAATAAAAAATAACAAAAATGAAATTATTAGTAAAAAAAGAAATAAAGAAGTATGTAAGTATTTGTTTGGTTGACATACATACTGAGAATACGAGTAAACATTAGCCTTTATGAGAAAATTGAATAAAACTATTATTTACGGGTTTTATCGCGTTTAATTACTTTAATTTATTTTTTTATTATTATCCCGACGTTTCGGGTGCTTTACAGCACCCATGGTCACGGGGGGGACTAATTAGTCCCCACAGTGCTCACCGAAAAAAAAAAAAAGTAATCGAATAGTTTTATTCAATGTGTAGTGTTTGCGTAAATTTAAGAAATCATATATGAGAAAATCTAAGGGGGAAGTATATGTCTTCTGTTAAAGTCTTCTGCTGAGCTTTGAATAAGCTTTAACGAATGAATGAATGCCGTTACCGTTACAGCCTATTAAAGTCTACTGCTGAACATAGGCCTCCCCCATAGACCGCCTCATAGGGGGGATATTTGTTTTGTTGTTGCCACGCATGGCAAGTGAGTTGGCAACCGCATGTTTTTATTTTTAGTCGTTATTAGGACCCGCTGCTGCCTCCTGCTTTCTTTCCCTCTGTCGCTTCTTACGACACCCACGGGATGATATGGCGAAGTGGATATTCTTCCACCGCCACTACAAAGTGAATGAAGGCATACAAATTAAAGTTGTCTTACCCTAAATTCTTTTAAAACTGCGTCCGGTATCTTCTTTCCGTTGATCCTCTCACACTTCTTCAGTATCTTGATAGCTTCGTCGATACGTCCTTGTGAAATTAACCATCTGTGATAGAATGTAATCTTATCATCAACATTCCGCATTCAAAACAAATGATTAAATTAAGTGAATTTGTATTCTTATGAGAATAAATTAGGTTGATAAACCTCAAATCTCTTGAGGATTATCAACCTTTAGAAGCGACAGAGGAAAACTAAGGCAGGAGATGAGCAGCATCATCGTGCTGATAAGAACGCAATAATAATGATAAAACTGTGGCTGCCAACCCGTACGCCATGCGTGGCAACTATGGCGAACATTCTCTCCAACGTTTGCAGCACTCATATGGTCACATTATACATTTTCGTTCGATTTACGCAGAATGTTTTTTACGCAATAGAGCAACGCGCAACTATATTATAGTTGTAGCACGAATTGGTCGTCTCGATCGGGGTAGGACAACGCTCTCACAGAATACCAATGTAAAATAGCAGCTCCATGCTGCTTTGTTTTGTATGGTGAGTGGATAGAACCGGATATCCTTTTTGCTGGAAACGAGGCATTTCATCTTAGTCCTTACGGATGAGAACGCTTGCATATTGATTCTTAATCGAGGATAAATGTATTTCATTGGTTGGTTCCTTGAAAGTGTAGTGTAGTGGTAGAGTAAATTATTCACTACCACATATCGTCCCATGGGTGTCGTAGAAGGCAATTAAAAATACCATCCTCATTATCTGGATGATAGGCGGTCCACTACCGTGCGTTTTACTACGAGTTTTCTTCCTCGTACAACTTCTCTGTGGAATTGTTTACCACCGGCGATTTTTCCGGACCGATACGACTTAGGGACCTTCAAGACAAGAGCTTAGCTTACTCCTATTAAAAAACCCGGCAACGCACCTGCAATTCCCCTGATGTTGCGGTTGTTCATGGGCGGCGATAGTCACTTACCATCATGTGAGCCGAATGCTCGTTTACCCCCAATCCAATAAAAAAAGGCAGCAACGTCTTAGAAAATAAACTCCGGTAGCAAAGCAGCCTGCCGAGTGTGGCAGAGGTGGTAAATATCCCAGTACGAGATAAGCTATAGGGAGGCTTATGTACAGTAGTGCATTATAATCGGGATAATTCTAAACATGTTTTTAGAGTATCAAACTTTTTAGAGCCCCGGTGGCTTACGTAAGCAACAACATGTTCCTTTTTTATAGGAAAAGGGATGATAAGCGAGTACACAGTCCACCTGATGGTAAGTGGTTGTTGTGGTCCATAGACATCTACATTTATCCCCGTTTGCGTTGTCAGCCCTGAGGACTAAGATGGAATGCCTCTTTTCCAGTAAAAAGGGTCTCCGGTTCTCTACAGTCACCATACGAAACACAGCAGCATTAGGCTGCTATTTCACGCTGGTATTCTGTGAGAGCGTGGTCCCTCGCCGGTCGAGCCGACCCATTCGTGTTACAACCATACAACCAATATAGCTGCAGCATGGCTCTACCACGTAAAAATTCTGATTTACACAGATTCCTGCATAATTTTATTACAAGTTTACGTACGGATCTCTTTTTTTGGATATGCTACTTAAACACGTTACCTCATTTACCTTGCACTCTCGGGGACGACACAAGGTGTGAAAATGGACATCGCTAGAGGGACGCTCGTGATCAGTGTATAGATCTTCCAATCGGCTACAGCAAGTGCTATCCAGGGTAATAGGCATGCCGCAAATGTGAAGTAAACGGCGATAGACATGTTGGCCACGAATGTCCGCCATTTTGGTCCCACGTATTCTACCACTGTGAATAATTCGATTGTTTTTATAGTGTATATTATGATGCTTTATAGTGTTTTCTTTTATAGCGTCGTAAAGAAATTCCTTGAGCATCCTCATACGCCCAGCAGTGAAGGACCACGTCCAAGATCCATAAGTCATCACTGGCAACATGCACTGGTTATACAATCTAGTTTTCAGGTTTTGAGGTATACCTGAACCTGGGTCGGCCATGTAGCTCGAAGAACCGACAACCGATGGGAAAAAAGCATAGATGAAGTGACGATCTGGTAAGACATGCAGGAAGTCGTTGGATGCAGGTGGCTCAGGAACGTGTTTTGTGGCATTACTTGGAGGAGGCCTATGTTAAGCAGTGGACTTGTGAAGGACTGTAACGATGATGATAAAAGGAATACCTATGACTGCTAAATAGATCTTGTGGGCAGCGCTCGACGGATAACTCTTTTCGAAAAATTTTCAGACATAAACTACAGGTAAGGTTTAATTTTTTTTTATAAAATTTAACTGACAAGTATAGTTCCCCTGATGCTAACTAGCTACTGCAACAGATGGAAACTTGCGACCAATTCTAAAAAAAAACCTACAGACGTTTTGTCACCTCCAAAGCTTAAGATGGAACGCCGCACAACCTATAATCATATTGGCCCTCCCCGGCTCGGGACACAGCAGTGCAGATACACTAACCGTTAGCTCGGTACATATACACATGTATGGTCGACGAAAAATACCATAGGTAAAAGGGCGGTACCTACCCAGATGGACTCCCCGGTAGTAAAGAAGTCCCACCATTTATTAAAAGTGCGACAATATTGTTGATTCCCTCAACCCTGTCTAAATCAATAAAGCGAGAGAAAGAAATAAAGAGAGAGATAGACAGAAAAAAAGAGACATATAGATAGAGAAAGAGTTAGAGATAGATACAGAAACAGAGAGATAGATAGATAAAGAGAGAGAGAGAGAGAGAAGATAAAGATAGGTGTATTAAAAGCTAATTTCAATACAGTAAAGCAGGAATAGAGCTTTTTTAAAGTCCACTGTTGGGCAGAAACCTTTCCGAGAATGCCCAGTTGTGACTGTGTGCTCGTTTGCAACCCTTATTTCTGTACAAACGAGCGGTTCACTTGATGGTAAGTGAATCTTGTGGCCAGTAGTATCTATTCTACGTATTAAAATACAGATGCATTATCACCTCTAAAAAAAATTTATTTATAGAATAAGGTGACAAACGAGTATACAATCCACCTGATAGTAAATGCATACTGTGGCCCATAGACATCTACATTTATCCTCGATTAAGATTCAAAACGTAGGTGCGTTGTCACCCCTGAGGACTAAGATGAAATGCCGCATTTCCAACAAAAAGGGTTTCTGGTTCTCTACTCTCACCATACTCAAAACAGCAGCATTAAACTGTTATTTCATACTGGTATTCTGTGACAAAAGTTGTAATGCATTATCTAGTCAAAATAATCTGAGACTAACCAACAATGTACATGATTACGAAGCAGTTGTCGTAAGCCAAACCGACGAGAAACCTGCAGAAGCAGAAGGACCAGAAGTCATTTGTGAACGCTGTACCGACGCCGGCGATAAAACCAATCATGTTAGTACCTAGAATCCATGATCATTATAACAATACTCTTACGATAGACATTTCTATAGTACAATTTTTTAGTGTAAAGGCGGCTAATAACGATATACCGTTATTTCAGTTTTTGAAAATACGATTAAATAAGGCTTCTATTTTTATTTGAAATTATCCCAAATTAAATGTGATTTATGGGCATCATCATTTTTGCCTATCCATCGACCCTCACGAATGTGTGTGCGCAGTAAAATTAGTTAAAATACTGCATTAGCACGCATTTTGAATTTAAAAGATAAAAAGGACTAAATGTAAAGATTTTTTAACTAATTTTTCTTCACCAATTGCCTATATTATTTATTCTGAACTTTATGCTATTGTATCTTTCATTTTATTAACTATTTTTCCGATGATTTTCCTTTAATGATCTTTATTTGAAATTAAAAAAATTATTTATAGCACTTTAATAACTCACCTACTAATGCTGGTATCCTTCCATATTTATCAGCAATCCATCCGAAAAGCAGACCTCCCACGATTGCGCCGCAGAAGAAGATCGACTGCGCCGTCGCTGGGTAGTTGTCTCTATCGCACACCCATCCTAACTATAAGAAGAAAAGAGAGAGGTGCTCAAATTTGTTTCTGTATGCTTATGGGTGTTTTACATTTTTATGACATTTTCCTTGACATATAGTCGATAATCGAGGGACAAAATTTCAAAATCCTCTTATGAGGTTAGCACCAGTTTGTTGAAACGACGATAAAAATATTAATTTTCTTTCAACACCTATTAACCTCAAATACTAAGTGGTAGTCCGTTCTGAATTCGAATCGTAGTACATCACACGTCACAGAAATTATAATGATTTTTTTTAAAAATAAGTGTGGCAAATGAGCGCACAGTACACCTGATGTAAAGCGGATGCTGTGATTTATAGTCACCTACTTATATACTGGATTAAGAATCAATATAGATACGTTGCCAGTTGCCACCCGTGAAGACTAAAATAGAATGTCGTCTCAATACCGGTAAATGGGTTCTGGTTCTCTACACACATCAAACAAAACAGCTGCATCAATATCAGCGTAAAATGCAGCACTAAAATGATTTTACACTAGAATTAAGCTGTATTTTACGCTGGTATTGCTATGTGTCACAACTATGACACAATCTCCTATGGGGCAATCTACTAAGAAGGAAGTGGAGTGGATTTATGGAAAGCTTTAATTAAATGGAATAGAAAACACATTCAATCATTCATTACAGCCAGCCCTTTAATCGCCAGCTAAAACGATTGACAACGCTAGCGCGCTTCACGTGACGCGGCGTCGCTAATACTAACCTAAAAAATTTCATTACATGGAATTTGCCGTGATATTATTTTCAATAAAATCATTATAAATTTCAATATAATACAGGTTTATGTTTATTTATTATGTTATATTACTTGTTTTAGTGGTTTTACTTCAATACAAAAAGACTTTATTGTATTTTCATAACAAAAAACGGGTACATACCAAGCAGATACCGGCAGCGTGATAATCACTATTATTTCTATATATTACTCGAAATTATTTACGTAAAAAGATAAATTATACTCACACAAAAAATTTTATAACAATTTTATAATAAACACTATAGCTACACTAATATAACACTAGAAAAATCCAAAAATCAACACAACAACATCCAAACGAAAATGGTGTACGTAAATGATGATCATAGAATAAATGACTATTTATTGCACTGGAGGATAGAAAACTTCATATTGATTCTATACTGCCAAACTTATTCATAGAAAAGTAGTCTGTAAATACAAGTATTTATGAATTAAAGTAGTGTGAGCGGTGAAATTTGACCTCTTGGGTTTGACGGAATATCGCCGTGGTCAAATTTGGACGCTTGGAAATTAAGAGGTTAAAAGTAAACATCCGAACATAAGCCTACATCATAGGTTGTCTCATAGGGGGATATAGAAATAGAGTAAATAAAGAATTCATCAGATATAATTTCTCACCTGGGTTGCAATAGTTTCGTAAGGCACATCCGTGAAATTGAATTCCCATTGATTTTGGCATTTTTTTATCGGCCAGTTCGCGTCTGGTTGCGTGACGCCATCTTCTAGCACAGTTTTCCAATCTACGTCGTACACGCGGCATTTGTCATATTGGTTGTCTTGTGATAGTGGAATGGATAAATGTCGCCTAAAATACAAATACGTTATTTTTTTTGTAGTGAGATTTGATTTTATATGACTCTTTCTCTAGGTAGTTGTTTGTCTGGACAGGTACAATACCTCTATATGATCTCTGTCATCATCGATATCCATTTGGCTAAGAAAAAAAGATCCTTTAAATCTGTGTAGGAAAGGCATCATACCAAAGATAGTTCGAATATTTAAATGCTTAGTTTGTCTGTGACGGTCTTTATTTCCGCTTTGCTTTGCTTGAAGATATTGGCATATTATTAAGATTAATTTTAATTTGATTTTAATGCGGTATTAATTCCTGTTATTTCGGAAGTATCAGCTATGGCACATGGTAAAAAATTATTAAAAATTTAGTAATATAGAATTAGTAAAATTAGTTTTCATCCAATGTGTTTATCCAATTTGGAAAGTGGTAGGGCCATGCTGCAGTTATATTAGTAGTATAGTTGTAGCACGATTGGGTCGGCTCGACCGGGGAAGGACCACGCTCTCACAGAATACCAGCGTAAAATAGTAGCTTAATGCTGCTGTGTTTCGTATGGTGAGTGTAGAGAACCGGAGAACCTTTTTATTGGAGGCGAGGTATTCCATCTTAGTCCTCACGGGTGACAACGTATTTGAATTTTGATTCGTAATCGAGGATAGATGTAATGCTATGGGCCACAGCAATCACTTACCATCAGGTAGACTGTGTGCTAGTTTGTTATCCCATTCTATAAAAAAAGTGTAATGTAGGCGTAAATATGAGAAGTTATTAGGAAAATAGAAGCATATATAAATTATGTTTCAGCAGAAACATAGCATCATGAAGATGCTGTTTCACGCTAGAACTCTGGTAAGATAGTGGTCTTTCCCGTACCAAGCTGACTCATTTTCGCTGCAACCAAAATATACATGCAGCGTGCATGGATTTACAATGGCGAAATAACGTTTTTCAATTGAAATTTTGTAGGTATTCGTTGGCTGCTCTAGACAGTTACTATCGGAGGGTTGTTATATTGTCTGACACTATGCCTTTATACGACTCTACAAACATTAATAGTTGTGCCAAGCATACAACTGATATGTTTGTGTTATCGTCTATTAGTTATTTAATATAATTTTGTTTTATAATTCATTTCAATTCAAGTATCTATACCATGTGAGCAATAATAGGGAATTATAATATAATAATTAGTTATAATATAAATATAATTTTACACGTGGTAGAGCCACGCTGCAGCTATATTACGCTCTCAGAGAGTACCAGCGTAAAATAGCAGTTTAATACTGCGTTGTTTCGTATACAATTTTTTACTGGAAACGAGGCATTCCATCTTAGTCTTCATGGGTGACAACGCATCTGCGTTTTGATTCTTAATCGAGGATAAATGTCTATGAGTCACAGCACTCACTTACCATCAGGTGGACTGTGTGCTTGTTTGTCACTCTTATACTATAAAAAAGATATTCATCCCACTTCTGATGTTCGATTTATTAAAATGTAAAGTCAGACTAAAAAGCTTTAACTCCACTTCTGATGTTACATTAATTAAGATGTATAGTCACAATAAATAGAGCTTTAATATATTATTTATTATTAATACTAGACAACACAGTATCAAGAATACAAACTACTTAATGGATGTAGGGGCAGCACACAGATTATGGTTCCAAGGCGAGACAATGAGTGAACCAGGAAAACATAAAATTCCAGGAATACTTACCGTTCCTCAACCGATAAATTCTTCAGCTCCGGCACAAAGCACCAGTGTTGTTCCGGTACCACTGTCATGAATATTTGCGCGAAGTACACGAATGCAAAGAAGAAGCCGAATGGTATCATTAGCAGGAACAATATCCTCTGGTACCAGCCGAAATCGCCAATGTACGGGAACAAATCGTCCAAGTCTCTCAGCTTACTGGGACTTGGAGCCGCTTCGGGTACAACTATCCTATAATTCGAAATAACTTACTTTAGTCCCTGAGCTATTATAGTCCATTTTACTATTTCTTAAAATCCTTATTATAAGTTAGTGCTTGAATACAATTTCTTTAGGTAATTCGACTGTCTTAGCGTTATAAAGGCCCACCTACTCTTTCCTTAAAGACTCCGTAACCCTCGGTGTAATCTGTAACATTGTAATCGTTCGAAAATACCGACGATTGCAAATTGTTCCACGCCCTTGCTGCCGCTTTACAAAAGGCGGAAGACGAAGAAAATTATTTGGTTTGAATGCGATCAATATCAACAACGAAGTGAAGACCTGCCGAGCTTCTGGTTATCCCAGATGAAAATGCTGGACACGTACCTCCTCTAATTTCTGAGAGGTATTTATGGCAAGGAACTGTCTGCCCGCTGTCCTAATACGTGTTATCGAATTGTACATGTCTTCAAAAATTTTTATATATTGTTAGGTATATAAGTTTTCCCCCACTCAGAGAATACTTGCTATAGCTGCCACGCTTGGCAAGCGAGTGGGTAGCGGCATCTTTTATGTTTTTATTCAGCTGTTACAGGAAGATGTTGCTGCCGTTTTCCTGATTCATTTTCTGTCTGTCGCCTTTTACGACACTCACGGGATGATATAGGGAAGTAAATAATCTTCCAACGCCACTATACGGTTTTATAGAGATAATATATATGGGAAATTGAATCAAGCACTTGTGGCATAGTGGCCAGGTACCCTTAGATAATTTTAAAGGCAAGTGAAGATTATGTTACTTACCATCGTTCGTCATTTCAAAGGCCATGTTGTCGAGGGCCTGGCCCCCGTTCTTGACAGCTTTTTCATGTGATTCCATTTTGAAATGAAGTTTTTGCCTTAAAAGACACTTTTCTCGACGTCTTTCTGGTTACCTGAATACTAAATTGAGGACGCTAATCTGAAAATTAAAATGAAATGAGAATTATGTTTACTTTTCTAACACAAATGCATTTAGATAGGTCTACTAACACACATCACAGAAAAATGGAATGTAGTAAAGTTTTTGCGGCGGACTGGAGACTAAACTATATCCTAGTTTAGTCTCCAGTACCTATATTTCAGAACTCTAGGTCACTTGCTCACTAGTTCTGAGTTTGTTGGAATTCGCAGAATAAAGTAAGATTCTAAGATTAATATAAAGTAAGAACAGGATGGGGCCAAGAACTGGGCCCCGAAGAACACCTGATAAATTTTAAGTCTAGTACAGTTTACGAAAGCTTAGATCTGTGGATAGTGTGAAACGCCCCCGGTCTAGATGGTGCGACAATCTGCGCAAGATAGCTGGTAGAAACGGAATGCGTGCAGTCGAAGACCGAGCTCAATGACGTGCTTTGGGAGATGTCTATATCTAGCAGTGGACTGCCGCTGGCTGATGATAATGATCATGATGATTAGTGATTCAAACAATTCCGTAAACCACACAAGCATTAAATCTATCAAGTGTAATAGTGCCGTAAATATCATTCAAAACATATTTTCCATAGAAGTTAGGTTATGGACGAGCATAGAGCCCACCTGATAGTAAGTGGATGTTGTAGACACCTACAATTATCTTTGATTAAAAATCAAAATGTATAAGCGTTACTCACTATATCATTCTTATATTAGCACACTCTCAAAAAAAAAGTATATATTAATATTCATAACCAAATCGGAGGCTATGACTAGTATAAATTTTTAATTCTAGAAAAGCTTAAAATGCTTGTGTAAGGAGTGGTTCACGACAGTAGTGAATAGTGTATTAGAATCCACAACTAAGTACGCACTCCGCATGTTAGTATTAGGCTACGAGGGCGGCACTGAAAATTTCGCGAATCAAAGAAGTGACAAAACATTACTATTTAAAATGTATTTATTGCTTTTAGAAGTGTTAAATACAATATTAAAGTTATTTGTATATATAGAGTTCCAAGAAGTAACATACATGATCTAGACTTGTTCTTTGAAAATCTAGAATACCTCTTTTTTAAAACCATAAATAAAAGTACTAAGACTAAGTTCGTATTTGGTGGTGATTTTAATATTAATATAATGGAAAATTGATTGGAAAATTGATGAAAATTGATTGGAGATTGCAATGCAGTGGACGATATGTATGACAAGCTCGTGGAAACTGTCCATGCGGTCGGAGCTAAGTTTTGCAAGACCGGCCGCAGAAGAACACAAAAGCTCTCCGATCACACTCTTAATCTCATGGCTGTTAGACGGGAGATGAGGCTGCAATCGTCGACAGATTTGACAGCATACAGGCAACTGAACAGACAGATCTCCAAATGCATGCGGCGAGACTTACGCAAATTTAATACTGCTCGTATTGAAGAAGCGATTGAGCGGAACCAGGGCTCCAAAGTCTTTGCCAGAGATCTGTCTGCCAGTAAGAGCCAACTGTCAAAGCTGAAGACTGAGTGTGGCAGCATCGTTTCCGGGACACCTGAGATTCTGAGTGAGATTGAGAGGTTCTATGGGCAGCTGTACACATCATCGTTGGAGCCACACGCAAGTGTGAGTAACGATCCAAGAGCGGGTTTTATCCGACACTATTCCGATGATATCCCGGACGTCAGTCTGAGCGAGATTAGAATGGCTCTCCAGCACCTTAAAAACGGCAGGGCCCCAGGCGAGGATGGAATTACAGCAGAGCTTCTGAAAGCGGGTGGAACACCGGTACTTGAAGTCCTTCAGAGGCTCTTTAATTCCGTCCTCCATGGTGGCACTACTCCGGAGGCGTGGAGCAGAAGTGCGGTGGTCTTGTTCTTCAAGAAAAGTGACAACGCCCTCTTGAAGAACTACAGACCGATATCCCTTCTGAGCCGCGTCTATGTGCTGTTTTCGAGAGTCATTACGAATCGTCTCGCACGCAGACTCGACGACTTCCAGCCTCCCGAACAAGCCGGTTTCCGAAAAGGCTTTAGTACCATAGACCACATACATACCCTTCGGCAAATTGTACAGAAGTCCGAAGAATACAATCTGCCACTTTGCCTGGCGTATGTGGGCTATGAGAAAGCCTTTGATTCCGTCGAAATTTGGGCGGTGTTACAGTCTCTTCACCGGTGCCAAGTTGACTGTCGGTATATCGAAGTGCTGAAGTGTTTGTACAGTAGGGCTACGATGGCTATCCGAGTACAGAACCAGAGTACGAAACCTATCCAACTGCAGGGAGGTGTAAGACAGGGTGACGTTATTTCCCCGAAACTCTTCACCACTGCATTGGAAGACGTTTTCAAGCTACTGAACTGGAAAGGATACGGTATTAACATCAATGGCGAGTACGTCACTCACCTTCGATTTGCCGACGATATACTTCTTATGGCAGAATCGCTGGAGGACTTAAGCACTATGCTCAATGATCTCAATAGTGCCTCCCAACGGATAGGTCTCAAGATGAACATGGACAAAACAAAGATCATGTTTAATGTCCATGTCACACCTATGCCGGTAATTGTTGGGAGCTCTAAGCTCGAAGTTGTTGACGAGTACGTTTACCTGGGACAAATAGTCCGGCTAGGTAAGTCCAACTTCGACCGAGAGGTCAATCGACGGATTCAACTCGGCTGGGCAGCGTTCGGGAAATTACAACGCATCTTCTCGTCAGGTATACCTCAAAACCTGAAAACTAAGTTGTACAACCAGTGCGTGTTGCCAGTGATGACATATGGAACTGAGACGTGGTCCTTCACTGCTGGCCGTATGAGGACGCTCAAAGTCGCTCAGCGAGCTATGGAGAGGGCTATGCTCGGAGTTTCTCTGCGTGATAAACTTATAAATGAGGATATCCGCAGTAGAACCAGAGTGACCGACATAGCCCAACGGATTAGTAATCTGAAGTGGCAATGGGCCGGCCATATAGCTCGAAGAACCGACAACCGTTGGGGAAAAAAGGTTCTCGAGTGGCAGCCTCGTACCGGTAGACGAAGTGTATGGCGACCCCCCACTAGATGGAGTGACGACCTGGTAAGACATGCAGGAAGTCGATGGATGCAGGTGGCTCAGGACCGTGCTTTGTGGCATACCTTGGGGGAGGCCTATGTTCAGCAGTGGACTTATAAAGGGCTGTAATGATGATGATGATGATAATGGAAAATAATAAAATCACCGAAAAGTTGCATAATCTCTTAAAAATTTTTAATCTAACGTCACATATCAATCAACCTACTAGGGTGAACTCCTGTCTTGACCTTATCCTTAGTAATGTGAATAATGCTACTGCAGAGTTATTACCACTTGCTCTATCGGATCATGACATGGCTCAAATGCTACACGTTCCTGTACCAAACAAAGAAATACCACTCCTAAAGTACTATATTATAAAACGAAACTATTGTAAAGAAAATGTTAATAAATTTAAATACTGTATATCGAGATTAACGTTTTCTGATGTCTTTAATGAATCAAATTTGAATGTAGCTTTCCTAAACTTCTTTGATACTTTTATGTTATTTTATGAGCTATGCTTTCCTAAAATTAGGATATGTATTAATAATAGAGTTCGTCGACCTAAGTGGATATCAAAAGGACTGAGAAAAAGCTGTACAATGAAGAGGAAGCTTAGGTTTAACTACTATAAAGTAAAATCGAACCAGAATAAAATAAGGTAAATGATCTATTCCGCTGTACTAAGACGTTGTATAAATCAAGCTCAAAAACTTAATAATGATAAATATATTGAGCAATCAAAAAATAGATGTCGTGCTTCCTGGAATATAATAAAAAATCAGACTTGTTGCATAAATAATAATTCAAAAAGTTTGTACAAGTAACGATTATTTGACAGATCCTCAACAAATTGCTGAAACCTTCAACAACCACTTTATTGAATCAACAAATATCAATAATAACAGTAATCAGTGCCAAAACACTAATTGTCTAAGAGTATGTAATAGCATGTATTTAGAAATGTATACTGTTGATGAAGTATTGAAATTAATACAAACATTAAATAATACGAAGTCGGAAGGTTTTGATGGTATTTCAACGGATGTTTTTAAAAGTTGTTGTACGGTTTTAGGTAGAGTATTAACTTACCTAATAAACCTGTCATTTAAAAAAGCTACTTTTCCTAGTATCTTAAAAAAGCCAGTTGTTAAGCCGATACATAAAAAGGATGACTCTAAAAATTTAAATAATTATAGACCGATTAGTATAGTCTCAGTTTTATCTAAAATATTTGAAAAGGCAATGGCTAATCGTATTGTAGAATTTACGATGAAATATAATTTAATTAAAAGTGAGCAATATGGCTTTCAAAATAATAAATCTACAAGCCTTGCTGGATATGATCTTGTTGATACAATTGTTAGGGCTATAAATAATAAGCTAAGAGTTACAGCAATCTTTTTTGATATGTCGAAGGCCTTTGACATTGTATCCCACAAAATACTCTTACAAAAACTTGATAATTTGGGGTTTCGAGGCCCTTTCCTAGATTGGATTGCTAGCTATCTAAGAAATAGGATACAATTTGTAGAAGTAACAAATATTGATAATTCACAGACATTAACTTCTTATAAATCCAGTGATAGATTAAATTCATTTGGAGTTCCACAAGGTTCCGTATTAGGGCCAATTCTTTTCCTTTTATATATAAATGACTTACCTGACTCAACTTTATACAAATGTATTTTATTTGCTGATGATATTTCAGTTATTGTGACATCTAAAAAAGACATTGACATTGACATCTATGAATCTAATATTAATAATACTATTGACAATATTTCAAAGTGGGCGACATATAATAATTTATGCATTAACGTAGAAAAGACATGTTATATTCAATTTAGTAATTATGGAACATTGAATAATAATCTTAATATATATTGCAATGGACAATCTGTTAATGAAATGACTGAAACAAAATTTCTGGGAATATTATTGGACAAACATTTTATAACATTA